AAAAAATGAATAGAATGCTAGAAAATAAAGGGGACGAAACGAGAAGATATCATTCAAAGCTGAAGAAATTTAGAATAGTGTGATATCTCTGCTTTGCTATACATCTTTTTTTCACAGTAGCATGATCGTTCTAATGACTTTAATGTCTTATTGATGGGAAAAAATAAAATATTCCTGACATAAAAAAGATCTTTTCAACTATTTATTAATAGTCTGGTTTTGTACACATGAAAATGCGTATTAAAGTCAAAATATTAAGGTATACGTTTTCTAGAAGTTTATTAAACACGAAAAAATTTTTTTATAACTTTATAAGAAAAAAGTACTTAACTTTCCAAAAAAGATAAAATAGAGACAACTTCCTCTACGGTCATCCTGACAGACATTGGTGAGAAAAGATTGCTGGATACCGCAGGATAGACATGGAGAACAAAATCCTTTTTCTTTCAACCAACAAAATTCTGCCAGATCTCGTAGGAAAACACTTGTAGATTGAATAAGTCAAAAAGTCTTGCGATGTTTCTTACCTTTACGCAGGATTTTTTCCATGCTGACCCTACATAAACTATGCAGGGTTCTGTCAGGGCTGGCAGTATAACAATCCTGCGTAAAGGTAAGAAACATCGCCAGATATTTTAATACCGATAACCCGCGGGATCCTGCATGAATTTTGATTATTTTTTTCAGTGGGTTATTGCATTTCGAAACAAGATCTACAAGTGAGACACCACAGAAAACAAATGTAAGAAATACTAGTCTTTGATAACGGCTAGCCATATAACTATTCTTACTTCAAATAATACATGTGGTTTATGAACCAAATTTTTGTTTTTTTCTTAATCTGTTTATTTCATCGTTATTTTTATAATTTCTAGATGAATATCCCTAAGTTTACGTTTACAACCGTCAATTAATAACTGAACTGTTTCAGTTTTTTCGAGGCGACGTCATCTGCTAAACATAAAGATTCTTCACCTAATAATGACTGAGCACTTTTCAATTCTTTTTGTAGCTTCGCTTGTTTTAATAATAATTCTAATCCTTATGGATGGAATGAATAACGAAACTTTCAGTTTCATTCATTTCATATACGTGTTTTGTTTTCTGTCTGTCTATGCTTTAATCGTTTCAAAAACATTGTGTAAGTTGTGAAAGGCACATGTAAGGAAGAAGTCATAAACTCAAGTAGCCTGTTATTGAGTATAGCGTCAGTTTTAGGATTATTTGCCTGCGTTTAGTCTTTTTTGTTCTTATGACTCATCCTTTCACATGTTGTTTCACTCACGCTTTCACATTTCTAAAAAACAAGCTTTTCAGAAACGCTAAAAAATAACAAAAGCTTTTCTTAATGAGACATGATTGTAGACCGCAAATGTCTGATTAAAGTGAGACATCTCCCAGCTCTACACGACCTTTCTTTGCAAAGTTATAGAATTTACAACAAAAGCCCTAAATTCATTTCTTCTTATTTTTGTTGCTTTGAGCTGCCAATGAGGATTTAGGGCTTTTCGTGTTAATTCTATAACTTTGCAAACCAAAGTCGTGTGGAGCTGGGAGATATCTCATTTTAATCAGAAATTTGCAGTCTACAATCATGTCTCATTAAGAAAGGCTTTCGTTATTTTTTAGCGTTTCTGAAAAGCTGGTTGTTTAGAAATCCGGTTTCTGGAGGCTTAAGGGCCCAAATGGATGTCATATTGGGATTCAGCATAGTCGCGTACCTATTGTGCACTAAATTTTGGAAAAAAAGCGATTGCACACTTGGGACCTAGTCCACGTTCACGTTCCGCGCGTTCAATAATTTTTGATGACTTCCCTTACTGCGCAAACTGTGTCGTATATTTTAAAACACAGGATCGAAAAAAATTCATTCACACTTACAGACTAACGCTCTCGTTCTAAGCATATTTCTCTCTGGAAGAACAAGAAAAAGTTACATTACACGCATATCTGCTCTTTACACTCTTATCGCACGGATCAATACGAGAGACTGCAGAAATTAATTCTGTTTTTTTCACTTCACATCATTTCTTTTCATTGTTCGATCCCCACTCACACACGAACAGAGTTTTCAGTTTCCAATGCAAGCAGACACCAAGCCTGAGCATTTCCTTTCGCAATAAAAATCATCGTACAGGAAATATATACGATAGACGAAAGAAAACAACGCGCGTCACTTTCAGAATAGAACGGAAAAAATTATCGAAAAAACACTTTCATCTCATCTTCAGTTAAGGGGGGGTAACCACCCCCGTTTTTTTTCATAACTTTGTAGAGCACATCAAGCTGTGTATACCCTAAAGTACTTTCGATGAACAGACTTGTAATTGCTGAGAAAAATTTTTACGAATTTCATACGATTTCGACCCTCAATTAAAAAAATTTTAGTTATAATGAAAATTGAACCAAGGGTGCCTGAGAAAATTAACAGTTTTCATTATAGTGCAGTTTGAGTCCTTAAAGTAATTTTTTGAAACTTATGCACGCATTTCAAAAACAACAAAGCATTCTGAAGAAAGATTTTCGCTGTCAAAGTTATTCAGGATAGTCCTCTTCATGCCCTAAGCGGAGCACTTTTTTCATTTTAGTGGAAAAATTTAGAAATAAATTACAAAATAGAAAACTTTTAGCTTTAAATTTACTTAAAATTTATGTAAATTGCATTTGTTTCAAAATTTTCCCACTAAAATGAAAAAAGTGCTCTTCTTAGGATATGAAGAGTATTATCCTGAACAACTTTGCCAGCGAAAAGTTTTCTTCAAAATGTTTCATTGTTTTTGAAATGCGTTCATAAGTTCGTGTACCAGGTAATGAGAAAGTCGAATTTCCATGCAAGAGCGACTCTTTCTGATTTTAAATGTCTGTTAACAAAGTTCAACTTTGTTAACAGACATTTAAAATCAAAAGAAAAAAATTAAAAAGTATGTATACATGAAACAGTCTATTTGTATTAGATGCCACTCTTTGGCATTAAGTAGATTGTGCATTCTATGCTATGTTTTGGTGAGGGAAGTACCAAAACCTCAACGGATTCTGTTGACCAATAAGATATTATTTTTTGCTGCATTTTTTTCGCCATGTGTGAGATAATGTTTTATTGCTTAGCTAGCGTTTTCTGTTTTTATTTTGCTGAGTTTTACACAATTTATTCGTGAAAATTAGAAGACTCGTCGTCAGTCATTTTTTAGATTATTGATTATAAAAGGTTGAATCGAGGAATATCGTCGAATGATGAAAACTATTGTCCTGACTATGCAACCTCTTGTTCAGAGAGTGATGTGTCGATATCGTATGCACTGCCTTCTGTAGTCGGGGAAAGCAATAGCATACCAAAAAGAAAAAGCATACCGATGCCACACTTAAACCAAGAAAGTTTAAGAGATCGTTTAGTTCTCATTTTGTAGAGAACATTTTAGGCTATCATATCTATATGAGAAACACAGGGATCACTCTGGTAGATCCTGGAACCACGACCTACTCTTTCAAAGACTACTAAGGTATATACCTGCAGGTGGTATTTTCTGAGATATTTTTATGTCGACTTGCAGCTATTTATCTCCTCTATGCAATGCTGGAAATCGCAAGCCTTTGGAGTGCATTGTTCGAAAGTTATTAAAGAAATAGCCACGGGGATTCATTTTTAATAATATATCAGCTTTTAATTCATATAAAAGCCCATGTATGAAAAAATTTCGAAAAAAAAACCCACACTCATGACAAATTAAAAAGCATAATACAGGATTTTGTAGCGCTTGAGTAGCTGATTCGAATGATATATTAGTCGTTATATTTGAGCAAAAGGGATTGACGAAAAAAATAATGCAAACGACTAGACTACATTGAACTGGCATCGGTTTTAGAGATAAATATTATAAAAAGTCTGTTAGATAGAAGTTTGGTTAGGGGGGGGGGGGGGGGGGGGGGGGGGGGGGGGGGGGGGGGGGGGGGGGGGGGGGGGGGGGGGGGGGGGGGGGGGGGGGGGGGGGGNATCATTAATAATGAGACCGGGATTGCTCTGCTTCAACTCTGTAACGATATCCTTCACTCTCCTCCCCCCGCCGTTAATAGAGCAAAAGACGGATTACGTAACGATTTCTATGTTAAAATGCGAATAAAGACGTGCGGAGCGAAAAAAATTACCTTGGAATTTCACAATAATATGTAATGTTTTCTTCGTAAATGATTCTCTTCCTTACGGTGTTTGAAATAATCTTTTAACTCGCTTTCATGTTATTATATGACAGCATATAGGTGTGTGTTGTTCTCTTAGTGCACTATACGGTTGATGACTCTACTCTGCGATTAAAGCTCTGTTGATTATCGTGTGTTAATAACAATTGCATATTAAAATTACGTGCCAGAGTGCTAGCATCAATAGGTGTAATTAACCGGATTAGACCGCAGACCGTTTTAATGTTGCTATTGCAATTGCCACCTTAATCTAACATAAAGTTATAAATCTTTCGACGCATGTATCAACTAAACACTTATGTTTAATTTCAGAGAAATATTCATATGAGTATGGCAGTGGCACAACCAGAACCTACAGAGAAAAACTCTGAGAATTGGTTCCAGTCGGCTAACTTAGGGCTCATCTTCCATTGGGGTGTGTATAGCGTTCCAGCATTTGATGAGTTGAGTGGTATCGAAATGCGTCGAATTCAAAATGGTAGCGAATGGTATTTACAAAGACTCAACAAGAGATCTCGGGTATCAAACGCCGACATTGCGACAAAAGAGTACCACAAACAAAACTATCCAAGTGAAACTTATAAGGATTTGGCTATAAGATTCACAGCTGAGCGATTGAATATGGAAAGCTGGATACAACTGGCTGTTAGTATCGGTGCGACGTATGTAATATTAACTTCAAAACATCATGATGGCTTCTGCATGTGGGAAACTAAAACAGCTCCTAACTGGAACTCGGTTGATGTAGGTCCGAAGATGGATATTGTCAAGGTTTTTGTCGAACTTGCTCAGAAATATAATCTAAAAGTTGGTCTCTATTATTCTTGGATGGAATTTGGAAAAGGGTGTACAAAGACATATGTGGATAACATAGTTCATCCTCAACTTCGCGAATTGATAGAATATAAAATAGATCTAATATGGTTTGACGGAGATTGGATTGCGGACAGCGGTGAGTGGAGAGTGAAGGATATCGTTACAGAGTTGAAGCAGAGCAATCCCGGTCTCATTATTAATGATCGTCTTGGTAAGAATCATAGTAGTTCAATAAAGCCAAATTATCGAAACTATGGTGATAGATATATGTTGGATGAAGTCGGGAAGGAGAGATGGGAATCTATTCATACAATAGCCTACAGCTGGGGGAGAAATAAACAACAGAGAAAAGAGCATTACAAAACTGGCAAAGTACTCTATGATTTACTAGTTGAGGTAAATAGTAAAAATGGAAATTTGTTGCTGAACTTGGGACCGGATGCAGACGGAACACTGGACGAAGAAGAAGTAAAAGCTCTGAAAGACCTAAGCTACTTGCTGCAGAAGCAGAAGAGCGAGATTTGAAAAGTTAATAGTTAAGGTCATAGCATGCTTCGAATAGTTCCTAGACTTTCAATGCATTTTAAGGCTGAATTTAGCAATTAGATTAGCTGTTATGCACTTGAATTCTTACTTTAAAAAGTTATAACTAAACCCCCTCCCGGAATAAAACACCACCCAGTTTGAAGCTTATGACGTAAAAGCCAAAATAATAGGCCGCCCTTATTATTTTCTCTTCATCCTTTTTTATCTTTTTATGTTCTGCTTTTCTGTGTATGTATATTTATATATACTTTGTATGTGTACACATTGAATGCTTCTAAATTATCGTTGTTTAATATAGATAACTGTTCTGCATGAAAACAGCAAAGGTAGAATGCCAATGCAATTCTCTCATACACACCACAATATCAGTCGTTATGCACTTATGAAATAAACTTATATGTTTCTACTGAGTTGAACAAACTTACGAGGAAAGGTCCCCAAGTGTGCAATCACTTTTTGCTTAAAATCTAGTGAGCGAACGTTAGGTAATCGATGGCGCTAAATCCGAATCGGACATCGGTTTATGCTGCCAGGCCTTCGGGGGCCGGATTTCTGGAAAAGCAGCTTTTCAGAAACTCCAAAAAATCATTAAAACTTTTCTTAATGATTTACGATTGTAGCCCGTAAATCTCTGATTAAAATGAGATATCTCCCAGCTCTGCACGACTCTTCTTTGCAAGGTTATAGAATTTACACGAAAAGCCCTAAATCCTCATTGTCAGCTCAAAGCTACAGAAATAAGAAGAAATGAATTTAGGGCTTTTCGTGTAAATTCTATAACTTGCAGAGCTGGGAGATATCTCATTTTAATCAGAGATTTACGGGCTACAATCGTGCCTCATTAAGAAAGGCTTTGGTTATTTTTTAGAGTATCTGAAAAGCTGATTTTCCAGAAATCCAATCTCTGGAGGCCTAGCAGCACAAACTGATGTCAGATTCGGATTTAGCGCAGTCAATTACCTATTGTCCGCTAGATTTCAAGCAAAAAGCGATTACACACTTGGGGACCTTTCCTTGTTAGTAGCCGTGTACATATCTCCTCTACAAAAGTACAGTATAACTTCAGAATATGTGCAAAATACAAAATAAAAGTAAATGAAACAAGTAGTTGACTGAACTTTACTGTCTAAGTAAAATTTTTTGCATTTGTCAACCAAGTACGTACATTGTACCTGTCAAGGACTTTCTCAAGTACTTGACAAGTGAACTTACTTGGAAAAGTCCACAAATACTGTCCTCATTAATTTACTAACTCAAGTAACTAGCTCAACTACATTCACTAGGATGGCATTCACCTGATTGTCAATTTTTATATCTCACCACTATTTCGTGATCACACTACTATCAAACATCAAGAAATAAATATAAGTCATTATCAAGATTCGCTAAATGTTTTAGATAATCAGTTCTTTACCAGATATAATCTATTAAGTTCAAAATTTAATCTATTTATTTAATTTAGTTTCTATTTCCCACTACCAATGAGTTTTTCACATACTCGCTCGGACCAACATATACTTTATAATGTTTAACTCAGTATTCAACTTATCAACAGTAGCCTTCTCCATTTAGAAAAATCAAATTTATATTTACACAAATATTTGTGTAAGATCTTTTCTGATTATTTACTTGCTAGTTTGTTGACTTTGATTTATTTTTTTAACAATCGTTTGCCTACAAAACTAATGTTATTTTTCTTTTTTAAAGTTATTCTTTGAACAAATTAGAAAACGTGAGCAGTTTCGAGCTTGTTGAAAACGAAAACTACAGAAAAGCACAAAGAAAATATTGACAAAAATCGCACACATACTTTAGTCAAGTAAATATAAAATCTATACTTTTAAAAGATATAGATAAGTTATTATTGTCATTCCAAATATTTCATTAATTTTGATAAACGTTGTAATGTTGAAATTTGCTTCCTCATTAGTCTGATGGGAAAACATTTTCTTTGAATGCATTGTTATAATTACCGGGTGGATAATATTCGCACACACTGAAAATAGCTCCAGTAGCACTTACTGCTTGGACACAACCTAACCATACTGAACTTTTCCACACAACTTGCGTAAAGCTATCTGTTTTCTTGCTAAATCCCGAATAATCGAAATTATAATAGTTAATTCCATTGTGCCACATCGTGGTAACGGATGAACCTATTAAAATAGAACAATAAAAACATCTATCGTATTTCCGAAGAGCAATAGAAGAGAACAGCCAGAAAGAATGCTCTTTTTTCATCCGGTTCTCTACATATAACTTAAAAAAACCGGAGTTATCGACATTGAGTCAACTTCAATGACCCATGGCCTTCGCTCACCTAGTGGCGAAGATTTATAAAACGCTCGCCTAATTATCCTTTGAGCAGAACACTTTGAGAAAAGTTTTTGGTACCTTCTGTCTGCGTCAATACTGAAAAGCTTCAAATATCTCGTAGAAAACGTTTGGTTGAGGAAACACATGCTACCTAAATGAAGATCTTATAGGATAAAAACCATAAAAACCTGTTTATTCTAAAAGTTTGTGTCGATTTTATTTTGATAAAATTGAATGTTTCACAACATTTTTACTCTTTAATTTCAAAACCCGAAAGGTGAAGTCCGCATAAGAACGGAAATCGGCCCACTAACAATAACCGCTCCAATCGGTCCAAACCTCATCAGAATCACATCCAATTATGATATTCAATGATTTCGACCCTTCCGA